ACTGAAATTTGTTATTCATTTTTAAATCTATAATACTTACTAAAATTACATATACTCTTTTATTAATAACATCTATAAAAAAAAACCACAAAAAAGACCCAAAAAAAAAATTTTTATAATTTCATAATAAGCTGCCATTATCATTAAGCAATATCAATAACCGGCAAATTATTGACTGGAGTTTATGGTTTGAATTGATTACTATCACCCTAGCAGCTATTAATCAGTTTATAAATTTTCTAATACAACCGGTTATACATAACATAAAACTACTATTAGGGCATTATTATGTTTTCGGAACTTAATATTAAAATCAATGCGAAATACTTTCTGGGTGTCGCAATAGTTTCTATGCCATATATACGACCAGCTAATGAAATACATGCGATCTAAAATTTTAGCTACGATTTTATGACAATTAGATAACCAAACGTAATCACGCTAAAACCAAAAACACGATACACAAAATCCAGTAATAACGCACGAGGTTTGTTTAAAATGTTATCAAATGTTTTAAATAAACTATACATTCCGTTTCAATACTGTATGGTATTCAACTAATTGCCCAGAAACTTTAAGTTTTAGATCATCTTTTAGAAAATAGCTAGAAACCATTCAACTCAATTAACTTATTAAATAACACCATCATATACTCATTTTAAATTCATCAAATTTATCAATCAAATATAGTTAATCACATAGATCTTCTAATCTTTTCTGTATTTCTTACCTTCACAGTTAAATACAGTCTTACAGGTCTTTTGAATGCCGCAAACATTGCTTTACATGCTCTTCTCGTAACAGCTTTTATTACTGATCCCTGTTTACCTACAACAATTCTCTTTCATCAACCCGAAAATTTTAAACAGTTTTAATGGAAATATAATTTATTGATTCAAACTAACAAAATAATAATAATATTTAATAAAATGAGAACATTAATTCACCTCTTGTGATTCACGCTCCACATAAATAATCTGTTCTATTCGTAATGAACCGTCTTCTAATTCAGTCCATCCTACATTCTCCTAAAAATTATATATATAAATATACATGATTCATATTAATTTTTAGAAATAAAACTTAGGATTATTTATTACAAAATGAGGAATACCTGCTTAATGATATAAGGCAGATAACTACGTAGCGAAGTTAAAAGCTCTGCCCGTACAAAATCCTCAACTCTCTTTAAATCTGCCATTTCTGATTTTATTTCGGATGGATATACCCATTCTTGAGGGTATGCATAAGAAATTAATTGTTCCTTTTTGAATATTAATATTTGCATAAACCGGTCAAAATAGTATGATCTTTAGAACTTAAACATTTAAATGTATTAATCTCAAAAGATTTAAATAAAAATTCACCTTTAATACATCTAATCCTTGCTTTCGTAATGCAGATATATTTATCGTGTTCTTCAAATAGTGGCATTTTTCTTTGAATTTTAAATAAACATTTTGAAGCAGCTGATCATCATTTTCTAACAAATCGATCTTAATTCAAAAAAAACAATAGTCTGTATAAACCCATAATTATATCTCACATAAAATTAAATTAATAATTAAATAATCGTACTTTATTTAGCACCAAAGTAACAGGTAATTCATAATCGTTTAATCTATCAAATAAATAGCCTTCATTATAAGTGCTTTGATGGGCTGCCCTGTGAGCATCAATTACTACTAGGACTTGAAAAATAAATGAAGAGATAGGGAAAACATTAATTAGCTG